GGTAAGTATTCCCGCCTGTCACGCGGGTGACCCGGGTAAACTTACCAGTGGGTAAAAGGGATGAATGATCAGGTTTTGGATAGCTCCATTTATGGTATAATTGTTCTGTCTCTCTATATATATGTGCTCAAGCTTATTATTGCTTTGGTTTTGAGTTTTCAGTATCTGGATGGTCGTAGAGTGCAAGTGAGCATCGCTAATGGTGGCAATAGTGATGACGAATAATGACGATGATGGTGTCAGTTATGGTGGCAACAAATAGGTGGAACGCATCTCTATCCAAAAAGTTGAAAACATTCTAGTAATGCTTTTATGTGTGGTTTGCTTGTTTCCTTGTCTGGTTTGCTTGTTGTCTTTCAAGGTCTCTTTTCCTGATTTGCTTTGATTCGTGTCAAGATCTTGTGCTTTGTGTTTTTAAGAATTTATCAATGAAAAGAGTCTGAGAAGAGTTTTCTCAAACCTTTACATCGGTATTCAAAGTTCGAATCGAATATCGAAGAAGAGCTTACCCATTAGTTACTGGACGGTTAACCGTACCAGGACCTTATACTATAAGTATTAATATGACAGTGAATGGTGACCTTATATCACAACATTACAACGTGTACCATATTTTGTGTAACCAATTCTACTGCTTTGTGTCACCAATCGGGTCCTATATTCTTATATCAACCATATACCATAGATATATTTAAACCGAGCATGAGTGCTAATTAAGGGAGTGCAGCTAGATAAATTGTTAAAATAGCATTTGCAAATCCCGTAAGAGAATTGTATCTAGTGGAGTACTATCATATCTTTTAATACCATTACAAATACTACTAACTCTTGGGGTTACTACAGACTGACCTTGGGAGTACTATCATATCTTGAGCAATGGGTGGCATCACATCAGGAAGGTCATTTAGAACATCAGGTAGACGTAACGATCTTCTCCATTAGTTTCTTACTCACCAAAGACAAGATTTGAGGTAAAAAAAATGGTGTTGTTTCCGAACCTGATTCTGTTTGGCTTCAAGAACTGCAAAGTAACAGCCAAGCTTCCAAACCGTAATTGAACCAGGATTCTGAAACAACAAACACAGATGTGGAAAATGTTAAATCTAATTCTCACTTCTGTTCACAAAATTTTAAATCAAGTTTGGGTAAACCAAATGAGAAGGATCATGGATACATCTTTGCAAACAGGTGTCTCAGTTCCTTTAACATTTTTGATGGATACTTCCATAGTCATGGAAAAGCTTCACAGAGTCGTCGTCAATTCCATCACCTACCTATATACATCGTCTATTCCATCGTCTCTCTTCATGATCCCTCCGTTGATCGAACTTGACTTGACAAAAAACGACTTCAATGGTCCTCTAGTGATTGGGAATATGTCTTCACCATCTCAGCTTCGAAGTTTGTCTCTTGGAGAAAACAATATTGTTTTCAATGGGCCATTCCCAGGATCTATATCAAAACTAGCCGAGCTCGTGTTTCTTGACCTCTCTTTATGGAACACAGGGAGGGGAATGGTCGATTTCAGCATCTTCTTGCATCTCAAGTCACTTAGGTTACTTCACCTCCCCTATCTAAATACAAGAAGCATGCTTGACTTGAGTCTTTTTTCACATCTCATGTCACTTAGTAGCCTGGATCTTTCAGGGATTAGTTTAAAGATCAGTTCAACTCTCCATCTTCCCTCACCCATACAATTCTTGAGTTTATCATCCTGCGGTATTGCTGAGTTTCCCAAGTTTCTACAAACCCAAACCAGTTTATCTTATTTAGACATATCTGTCAATCAAATCGAAGGCCAAGTACCAGAGTGGTTATGGAGACTGCCAGAGCTGCGGTCTGTAAACATTTCTCAGAATTCCTTCAATGGTTTTGAAGGATCAACCGATGTTATTCAAAGAAGTGGAAAAGTAATGCTTGATATAAGTTCAAACATTTTCCGGGATCCATTTCCTTCCTTACCAAACTCTACATGGTTTTTTTCAGGCTCTGATAATCGGTTTTCGGGAGAGATTCCTAGGAGAATATGCCAACTGGTTCATCTTCATACACTTGTCTTATCCAACAACAACTTCAGTGGTTCTGTGTTTTGAGAATTTCAATACTACTCTTTCGATCTTGCATCTACAAAATAACAGCCTCTCTGGTGTTTTCCCAGAGGAATCTATCAGTGATTACTTGAGATCGCTTGATGTTGGTCGCAACCGGTTATCAGGAGAACTCCCCAAGTCTCTCATCAACTGCATTCAACTCGAGTTTCTGAACGTTGAAGACAACAGAATCAATGATACGTTTCCATTCTGGTTGAGATTGTTGCCTGATATTGTCCTTCGTTCTAACGAGTTCTATGGTCCAATAACTTCTCCTAGAGATTCTTTGAGTTTCCCCAAGCTGCGAATCTTTGACATTTCAGAAAACTACTTCACTGGAGTGTTGCCATCAGATTACTTTGCGGGTTGGAGTGCAATGTCAACGGTGGTAGACATTGTAGATAATAATCAGCGTTGGTTAATAGGAATTTATCCAGCATAAGTCAGTGGGTCTGACGAATAAAGGATCATATATGGAGGTTGTTGGGACTGGTTTCACAATCTACAAAACCATTGATGTCTCCGGAAACAGACTTCAAGGAGATATTCCCGAATCCATCAGTTTACTCAAGGAACTAATTGTGCTCAACATGTCAAACAACGCTTTCACAGGCCACATACCACCATCTCTACCAAACTTGACCAATCTCCAATCATTGGATCTATCTCAAAACGAAGAAGAAGAAGAAATAGCAGCTGCAATAGGCTATGTACCTGGTGTGTTCTGTGGACTCACCATTGGCCACATTCTGTCTTCACATAAGCATGAATGGTTCATGAAGATCTTTCACTCCTCCACTTAATTAAAGCATCACTTCTTAGGAGGATTGTGTCTCCTTGCAATATTAAGTTCTATAAACTTTGTAACAATTTTATCAACACTTGTTTGAAATCATATCAATCTTCTTTTCAGACTCCAACATTTTATTAGCTTATTATACTAAGCCTTTAACTGCAAATCTGCAAACCCCTGTTGTTTTGTGATAACTACATGTCATTTCTTATTAGTATTTTAATGCGTAAAACATTATATAATGGTTCTAAACAGATTTTTTCAAATAATGTCTGAAAACATTCTAGTAGTGCTTTCATGTGTTTACAGTGTCAGTTTTTGTTTCTTATTCTGGTATCCTTGTTGTGATCCAAGGGGTTGATTCCTTATTCGCTTTGATTCGAGTCTCATGTGCAAACTTGAAAGAAGTTTCCTCTATTTATCAAGATCCTGTGGTTGTGTTTCTAAGATTTGTTAATGATAAGAGTTTGAAAATAGTTTTCTCAAATCCTTACATCGGTATTCAAAGTTCGAATCAACAAACTAAGACGAGTTACCATGTAGCCCATTAGTTTCTGTTCAACCATACCGGAACCTTAAATTAACCATATACTGTTGTCAAAAAATAATAAATAATCAACGGAATACCAGTCACTGAGATATTTAAGCCGAGCATCAAAATGCCCATTAAATGGACTGCAACTAGATAGAGTGTTCAAATATCATTTTATGTTAGCTCTTAGGGCTAACCTTTAAGCTTCCTCCTTCACGTTATGTGAGTCATTGACAGCATCAGGAAGGTCCATTAGAACCTAGGTAGACGTAACAATGCTCTCCATTAGTTTCTTACTCACCAAAGACAAGCTCCAGGTTTTGCAAGTAATAGTATTATAATTCAAACGATTGTGAGACTTTTGCTTCAAGATCATTATGTTTTCTTTGATGTTTACCTGGTAAAGATGCCATGAAACATAAGCATCAGTTGCTGCGTATTGTAACTGCTCCTTTGATAGATGATGGACCTCCCAGTTTCCAAGCCTGATTCTTGTTGGCTTCAAGAGCTGCAAAGTAACAGTTTTAAAAGCGTAACAGAATCAAGATTCCCAAAGTTGTATGCAGGAAAAGATTTTGAAACAGCAGAACAGAAGAGTGTTGTTCCCATATCTCAAGGGAGAGTGGAAAATGATAAATCCAGTTCTTGCTATTGCTCTCAAAAATTCAAATCAAGCTTTGAAAAATCAACAAGATGAGGTTGATAATGGGTACCTCTTTGCAAACAAGTGTCTCGGTTAGCGACGCAAGGCCCCATTTTTTGTATCCTCCGCCTATTTTTTTGTTGGCTAAATCTGAAAGATCTTCGACATCTTTGATTGACACTCCATGGTCATGGAAAAGCTTCACAGAGTCACCGTCAACTCCAATACCTACCTATCAAATGTATCAGAACTATGTTAATCGAGCATGCATGGCAATGGCATACAACAAGAACTTTGACCACAATAAAATAACAAACCTTTACAATTGTTGAATCCTCAATAAAATGTTGGAGACTCTGTGGGATACCAGAATGGATAATGTGCATTACATCACAATAATTATTATCTACACATATCTGGACAACCGCAACCTTCCCCGGGACAACACCTAAACGAAACATATTTTCATGAATTATCATTAGTAGATCACAAAGAACTTCCCTCAGGATAATGGACATATAAGCAAACATCAAAGAATTCATAAATATCTCCCATTGTGATCTTTCTAAGCAACAGAGACAACAATCATAAGATCTTTCTGATCGAACGACAAGAGAATGTATCAACTTCATCATCTCAACGAGATTTGAGGTTAAGATAGACACAAAAAACATATGCAGATTGCAGACTGAATACTTGAAAAATGCAATCAAAAACAGATGAAACTTACAAAACAGAAAAATCAAGAATAGCTCGAGAGGCAAAGAGAAAATGATGATTAACATAAATACAGTACCTTTTCTAAAACTGGGTCTCCACTCAATATCAAACCCAACAATAGCTTTTCCAGAATCATCTCTCTTAGTTTCAAGAACCTTAAGAAGCTGCATTGCTCGCTTATCAACCTCATCAGCAGTCTTACTATACAAAATTCTACCACCAAATCTCATAGGTTGAAATTTCCTAGATTTTTCTGCAATAATCAAAAGATGATCAGGAACAAACCGATAACAAATCGCAGAGATTTCTAAGCAACAAGAGTCGATAGATTCGAAATTAATAGATTGTATAGATCCGTAGAGAGAGTGATGAAATTGATTAGATTTAGGGTTTTGACGATTTTGTTACCTCTGCAACGAGAGAGTGGAAATCGGCGATAAGGAGTGGGAGAAGTGATGGAACGAGGCAATTGGCGACGGATTTCAGGGGTTTGATATGGATCCTTAAGACCATGGCTGGAGGTCGGAGCCGGTAAGATCGGAGTAGCG